TTCAGCCAAAAGTGTCACTGGCAGATGTATATATTGCGGTATAGCATGTATCCACAAGAAAATGTCCATGGATGAGACGTTACAGTCTGCAAAACGAGGGCAACTATGTGATGTGAAAATCCCAGTCACTGCCCAATGATGTCTATATATAGGGACTGATATTAAAGGGTGGTGTGGCCAACACTGAATAAACAGACTGGGAAAAAAATAAAGTGATTTCATAAATGCTTAGTCAAACACAAACTGCGCATTTTGGGCTGAGATAGATTTTGGTCGTCCGACCAGAGATATCGCTAGGACGTCGGGCCAGCGATTTTGCGAGCCCTGTTACTTGTTATGTAGAGTTTAGGCAGTGTAGGAATTTTAAGACCGATACCAGTACCGATATTTCATGGTTTTAAAAAGCCAATATTTGTTTTTGTAGTTACTCATAAATCCTAATATCACGATACAGGTTAAAAATAAGCTCCATTTGCAATGAAATTTTATGCAATGAAGACCTGTTACGATCATCATTACAAATAACAAATGGCCAGTTGATGACCGTCTCCCCGGTGCTTCATGTAGACCAGGGACATCAAACTTTGATAATTGGGCCTTGAAGCATGAAACTACATGATAAATGTGTAAAATTACAGAAAAGGTCCCTGTAGTCCTTTGCTAAAAACGTCCTTTAATTATATAATTAAACAAACATACATTTCTGTAGTAAATTGTGGAAAAACTGCAGCTTTTCTGTAATTTAATTGTTTATCTATTATTTAATTGCCTTGGAGTAGGATGTGTGGCAAATGAGGATATTAGGGTTGGTGTCTGTGTTTAAGTTCCACTCCTTCATATTTTTAAAGCTGTCCAGTGGGCGAAATTGGACCCGAACCTTATCTTTAATACCTCTGGTGTAGACCCTCATCTAAGTGTTGTCATAATCAGTTCATTTGTCGCCCTGGCTGCAAGTTGTGTGAATGTGTTCATTTTGTGTCGTTGTTAACATCAGTGAACACCTCTGGGCTCAGCCTCATCGACCTCTTTTATTGCAGTCTTAAATCAAAGGTGTTCTCTTTCACAGGGGCTAATCCGAGTGGACACTGAGGTTAAACAAGTAAGCCAAAGCTTCCAGTCTCTCCATAGCAGCTGTGTGACTGAAATGTGTGCCCTCTGTTATTTTCACTGAAGTTTAGATGTTGAGAAGGCATACCACCTCAGACAGACACACACCAGAGCAGTAATTGGACCATTACGCGGGATGGGGGATGATGAACTCAGTGAGCGGGCTATGACACAATGGTTTCTCCTCAAGACCACTGTTTATTTTTCTGTATGTCCACCAGGTCTGCTCACAAGAAGCTCTTTCATAGCTCTAAAATAGTGCTCTGTGTGTGTGTGTGTGTGTGTGTGTGTAAGTATGTGAGTCAGTGAGACTTTACCTGTTTTCTTTACCTTAGATAGCGGGATATGTAAATGTGTAAACATGGATGCCATTTGAGGCTGTCGTGCCCACGGCACGAAGGAAGGTGGTGTGTAAAGGAGAAAGTGAGTGTTAATGAAAAGCGCGTTACAGGCCTGTGGCTTTCAGTCACAGTTGGGACTGTATAGTCCCTCACACCGCCAAGACCGCATACCACTGCGCACACAAACCAGCACAGACTACTCGATACATACAAGCATGAATGGTCTCTATTAAACCGCCAACTGTGCTTCCACCACCACATGTGTCAGGTCTATATGTATGGTTTTCAGGGTTATTGTTTTATTTGTGCACACAAAGCCTCAGTATGAGCACTTTGTCATTTACTGTACAGTTCTGAGATGCAGGGACAGGTAACCACTGCAAATTTCATAGTGCGACGATAAATCTGTGTCTTAGAACAGCGGTCCCCAACCCCTGGTCCGTGAGTCGTTTGGTACCGGGCCGCGAGAGTTGAGGCTCAGGTGTGAAATGTATGGTTTTCAGGGTTTTTATCGGTTTTCAGCTTTATTTTGTTATCGTTTTTATCGTTTACTCGGTTTTCCTGGGTCTTTTCACGTGTGTTATGAATAAATCTTCTTTTTTTCGGTACGGGTACTAGTTTTATTTTGTTGTATTTATCCGCGACACCTTAAAGGCCGGTCCGTGAAAATAATGTCGGGCATAAACCGGTCCGTGGCGCAAAAAAGGTTGGGGACCGCTGTCTTAGAAGACACTGGGACTGATAATGATGATGTTAGGGAAGCTGAACTTATTGCTTAGTGAGTTTGCTTCGAGTTTTTTAGCCAGGATTGTCAATACTTGCTTCAAAGTGTGATTTTAAAAAGTTGATTTGTCTGAAGGTTTTTCGCCTGTTATCAGCGATGGTAACGAAGTGATAGGAAACATGGATTGTATTCGCAAGATGCATCTTCAGAGTCTGTAAAGCTAAGCTAATGTGAAGTGCCTTGATCTTGCATTCTTGATAATGGCCAGCAGGGGGCGACTCAAAGTCTTTCATTTGTGAACAGTGCTTGGCTCTTTTACTGTGTGGTGTAAGTGAACACATCCTGATGGGTTTACGGTTTTATTCACTAGTTTAAGTTTTTATTGAATGCAACTTGATGTTTATTCTGCAAACTTTGCTCATAAAGGAGATTCACCACGTGGAATCATTCGCTAGTTATATATAGTTTACTAGCAACTAGGGCTGCTCGATTATGGCAAAAATGATAATCACGATTATTTTCACTGAAATTGAGATCACGATTATTTGACGATATTTATTTAACCCTTTAAGACCTACTATAGAACCAAGTCCACCAGAGCTTATATTATTTTTTTACATGCTGTAGTGCCATTTGTGGGAGCATTTCAAGTTGCTATACATCAATACAACTGTTATAGCCCATATTTTAATAATATGTATGCATTAAGTCCATAGTAATTACATAAATTGCAAAAAAGTGCAATAAACTACAAAAAAAATTGAAAATCGCTTTTGTTTTGTTTACATATATTTCTACTTGGAGAAATTTAAGAGGTTTATCCCTCAAAACTTTAAATACAATAAAGTTGCAAAAAATAGTTTCCCACCACAGGAAATTTATTTTGAGTGTCTTCATAGTTTTATTTTGGAGATACAGCAATTTTTATATACTGCAGGAAAAACAAAAAACAATCCTATGATGCAAATTTGCAAAGAAAACAGCATGTGCATCATTTCACTGTGGGAAGTGTTACGAACAGCTGATAGGAACGGCAAAGCGTGTTTCTGGAATATTATGTTTTTGTTCCTGCAAGCGCTTTTTATGCAATTTTTGCAAAGCTATATGTGGAACGAAACCGTGACCGAGGACAAGCTGATGGCATAAGATGTAAGTACAACTCCTCCGGTTTCATATGCAAAACAAATTATTGCGCTAGCTTACGCGGTTCAGGTTCTACAGGGATTTAACAATAGTTACGCAAAACGGAGCGTGCTGCTCTGACCGGCTTTAAAGGGTTAACAATGACTTTAAAAAAATAATATAAAATAGTGTGCAACACCACTGAAGTTTTTTTTATTTTTTTAACTCTTTTCAACCAACGGCAGTCACTCTCCAAATAACTTCTGCTTAGCTTTCCGAGCTTCCCTCGGGTCCTCTTAATCAGCGGTCTCCAACCTTTTTTGCGCCACGGACGGTTTATGCCCGACAATATTTTCACGGACCGGCCTTTAAGGTGTCGCGGATAAATTAGGGAGGGGCTAATAATCGGCTCAGTCATTTTTAATGATCGTTGAAAGCCCAGATCGTAATCGTGATTAAAATTCGATTAATTGAGCAGCCCTACTAGCAACTGAAGTTTTTTTTGAGCAGCAAATCAGTTGTGTATGTTGTATTTGTATAGTTTTATGATTATTGAGATAATTTCATCCAAAATCCATCCATCCATCCATCTTTTTTTTTTTTTTGTCCAGATCAAACATCTGAACCATTCAGAGGTTCATTTGAGTGATTTGCTGCCTGTTAGCACAACTGTCAGTCATAGACTCCTATCCATGTGCAGCCGTTATAAAGAAGACAAACAATGTTTTAGTGCCAGGTTGTAAACCTCTTTATTTAATTGCTGAAAATGGACATTTTCTCATACGAGTCCATGGGGATTGTCTCAAATTTAGAGCCAGCCTCCAGTGGCCATTGGAGGAACTGCAGGTTTTGATGATTATAGTATGTGTTTGCTTCATTTGGGCCCGGCCCTGAGGATTGTCACTTGGTCCAGATTGACAGATGTGAGCCCAGTTCTCACTATAGTGTATTTATTATGGAAAATATAACATTTCTAATTGTATATTTGACATTTTATGTCTGTGAAGGTTCTCAGTCATCCAGGTCATCATAGTCTAAGAAGCTTGGAAAGAAAAGCATCTGGACTTCTTTAAGTTTCCTTGAAGATGTTTCACCTCTCATCCGAGATGTTCGTTCACAGTGGACATAGATGGCTTCTTTTACTCCTCGTTCAAACCATCTGTCTTCTCTGTCCAAAATGTGAACATTGCGTCCTCGAAAGAGTGACCTCTGACCTTTAGATGCAGATGGACATTTTACACATTTTGGGAATTTTTTGTTTGCCCTAAAACCAAGTGTGACATTTCCTGCAGATAAACAGTGGTGTCTGAGGTTAAACCTTCTGTTTTACCTTGCAGAAATATTGCGTGAATTAAATAGTACACTAAATTAATTTCACACATCCTTATTTTTAGTTTCAGAAACCTTGCACGTGCACTTGTTTGGCCCTGTGACTGTTTAGTGAATTAAACCAAACCTGACTCTACATCCTCCTCTTTTATTTCTTTATTGGACTGCATTGGGTTGCTATAGTAACAGGGCCGTCTACTGCAGGAGACAGAAACAGCCCGAACTGTCACTGTTTTGTCACAAGCTAAAGGAGACTTGACTAATTTTTATCTAGTCAAGGATTCACTGCTGAACTGTTACTGTGCTGGTAGGAGCGTGATATGGATGTGTCCGTGTGTATGTCTGTCCACTAATGATGTAATCGGTCTTTGTTGCAGAGATACTTCAGTCGGATAGACCCAACCTGAGGAGGACACAGAGCGAGGAGACTCCCAGTACAGCGGGATCACAGGCCAGGTCAGAAAACGCACACAAAGACACACACACTGTGACTGTTTGGGATTTGGGTACAGTCCTCAACAATGCTTCAACAATATTTTAATGGAGTAAAACTATGGTTAACATCCAACTCATTGTGCCGTTACACATGTAACGGGGGATTCTGGGAAATAGCTCAGTTCAAGACTGAATCTTTTTCTACCAAAATATGTGGTGGTTAGTTGTGGTTTTCTCCACACAAGAAAGGGGATCATTTATCCCCTTCCCAAAATTTTGCGTTTGCGTCACGGTGTAATAATTCCCACCATCTGGCATCTGCATAAAACGGACTTTGGGTTCCTGAATCTGCACAGCTTGCTGTCATCTAGGGGAAATTTGATATTTTATTTTATTATTTTATTAGAGCACGTCGTGGGATATTGTTGTTTTGCTCTCCAGCTCCTGAAGAGCTTGGGGTGACACAGCAGGACAGATGGCCCAAAAGTCTGGGATTTCTTAATTGTCATAACTCCATGGCTGTCATAATGAACAGTGACATTTAGGCTCATAAAATTTCTGAATTATAACATGAAATATAACAAGATATACAAAAGGAGGTGCATACACTGTAGCCAGCTTTCATTAGAGCTTCTTTATGAGTTATGTGGGGAATACTGTAGACTGTACTGGCATCTCCTGTGGGATATATTGCATTAGATAAGCTAAAGTTATAGCTTATGTCTAAAACATTAAATAAAAAAAAATAAAAATCAGCTCATTTTTTCTAATAGGCAATAAAACTCCAAAGAGATTCACTTTTCTGGCATATCAGGCGAGCAAAACATCAAATACAAGTCATGATTATCTCCTGTTGAATAGCTGAACACCAGAATAATAGAGTGTATTTATAAAAGCCATCATTTCAGCATTATTCTGTCTTAATGTTTATTTCCATAAGTCAGATTTTTAAAAGACTTTGTGATTCTTTATAGCCTAACAAACCAAAAATGCCTTTTCAAAGAAAAAGAGGCTTCTTTAATCCCACCGCTTTAGAAAGTCTGCAGACGTTGTGGTACAGTAAGAACAATAATAATAAATACAATGCTAAACTTTCCAAACCCGTTTCTAAAAAACTGTTTATGAAAGTCATAAACCCCAGGCGTAATTGTAATCAAAATAAATGCAGAAAAGAGAAGAAAAGGGTCGAGTGGAGGAAGCCACTCGACTGAAGCACTTATGCAGAGTGCCAGCATGTTATCCCCCCCCCCCAAGTGTGGTTTCAGACGCAGCTCTCACTGGCTAGAATGGTAGCGAGATAATAAATAGTGGAGCAGGCTGCATTTATTTCCAAGCTTTGCTGCGGGAGTGCATGGGGTCAGATGGTATTTCCCTCTAAACACTGTAGGGGGGCATTAAGCACAGTTCAGCCAAGAGCCTAAACCGCTGCTGTCATGGCGAGGCAGTCAACATCTCTATACTGCATATGAAGAGATGCCACCAACAGACAAGATGAGAGGCTTCTTATGCTGTTCTCAAGTGTTCTCATTGCATGAACATGGTCATAAAAACATGCAGACGTGCACACTGCACTGTTAGTTCTTCTCCTTATTGAGCTGCGTAAACAACTGAATCTAGAGATCGCCGTCCAAGCTCGGCCCCAGCATTCCTCAGTCCTGGGGGGGCAAGCCATCGTGCTTTTCTCTTTCTCGTCAGAAAAGCAAAGTTATATTTAGCGTTGGGGGAAATATGATAGTGTTCAGAGAGGAAAAGCAGCTGACACCTCTGCGTGTGTGGTTGAATTGTGAGTCGTCAAAACAAAGGATATAAAAGGACGAGGTGAATAAAGTAAGTGCAGATGTTGATATGTCTTCTTCTTTTCTTTCTCTGTTTTCAGGAGCAACAGGCACTCAGTGGGGGGTTCGCAGGGTGAGTCCTCGGGGGACTCCAGAGGGAGCTCTCTGACAAATGGGGATCTGAGTGAGGAGCAGATCCCCGGACCCGTTGCTCGCCGGCAGTCCTCTAAGAGTCACGGCAGCCCCGGAAACAGCGCAGGTAGGAAAGTCTGCTCACCTCGCCACGGTGTCACGCACAGTTTAAGAACACTGGCTTTTTACATTTACGTGGTTACACTGCTGAGGAAGCTTTTAAAAGGGAGCATCCAAGAAAATAACCACGTTACACCACGCTACAGCGAATGGTAGATGTGGCTAAGATAATATTTCAGCTGTTTATTTACAGAAATTTAATCAGCAGCTTTTATATATGCTTCGTATGGAAAATGGATTTTAAGCTTTACTTTGTCACAAATGAGAGAAATTTTGGACTTTAGGTCAGAAAAAGTAGAAACATAAAAGAGATAATGGGAATTCTTCACACTTTCTACCATTTTCTAGGTGATAACAAAGAATTATGAGGAGATGAGCTGTAGTGAAAATAATCAAAAAGTTTTTATCCACTCCTAAATATGTCACATGACAATTTTAGATATGCGTAGTGTCACAGTTTTGAAAGACGTTCAACACACTAAACAAAATTAAACAAAATGATTCAATTAAGCAACTTATCGAGATGAGCAGGCTGAAAAATATGCTGAAAGGCTACTGCAGGGCTTCAGTCAATAAAAACATTGTATGTGTGCATCCTTCGGTGATTTTCTCACAGGCAGATAGATTTTTGTTTATTTTGCAGCCTAAGGATCGCCCACTCATTTTGGGGAATTAGAAACACCTTCCAAGTGCAAATGCCAAACTTGAAGCTTGAAATTGTGTTACCGTCTAAAGATTGCCAAACTTAACATTTAATTTAAAGGTCATTGGAAGCGTTTAATGCCTTTATTTGACAGCACTGGTGGAGAGAAAGGAAATGTGGGAAAAGAGAGTAGCTGAGTAATATACAGCAGATGCTTCAGCTACTTGTAATCAACCAATCAAAAAAAACATTTGTTTGTCTATCTTGGTCCCAAATCATCTCTCATGCAGCCATCAGTCCACTCACTCTTAAACCGTAATTTCTTAATTGACTGTAAGAACGCATCACATCATCTTCCCAGCTTTTCTTATGCTTCTTGTTGCCCGTGTCTTCTCTCAGATAAGGTTGAGCTGACGTCTAATGGACTGGAGAACAATCGCGGCGTGTCCCTACACACGCCTCCTCCATCTTCTCCTTCGGGCAGGTCTCCAGCTGCCAGCAGCAGCAGCAGTAGCCCCTCTCCTGGTCAGCAGGAAGCCCTGGGTCCAGCTGCCTCAGTGGAGCCCAGCTCCAACACCACCTCTAGCACAGAGCAGGCCAGCAACAGCACCACAGAGCCCACCACAGACTCACTCCCAGCAGGGTAAGAGCCAGTGTGTCACAGCATCTCATAGTCAGCCTGTAGTTTGAGCAGCAAACTATAAACGATACGAAAGACTGCCACAGAAACAACGAGAGGAATATTTATTGTTTAAGAAAATCTTAAACACACACTGCTGTATCTACATGTAAAAATGCTAGCACATTAAATGTTAAAAGTAAGCAGTGATTAATAATCTGTTATTGTGTATAGATAAACTTTGTATGGATGCTGGAGTAGGCCCGGATCTTTCGTGTAAACTGTGAATGCGTCATAAGTATTTAATTGTGAGAAAGTTGAGTCCTCCCATACTAAAACATTTCATTTCCTTTTCATTCCTCATCCTGTAATAAAATGAAGTCTGCCTTCTATATATATTTTTGCTTCTTGTAGCTTACTTCACCTATTTCAGTTTTATTCGTTTTATTACCAGCACCATATTTGCCTCTGAAACTCTGAACCCAGTCAAATCTTCCAATAGTTTTGTAAGAATCTGCGTAGTGTGTGTATATTTGCAGTTTCAACCTAAAAGTGGGGATTCATTAATAGTTATCAGATGAATAAGCACAGAATGAGATGACTGCCACCAATATGTCAGAAAAGAATATTTTACTGATAGACTAAAATGGTGTTTCCAGTGTGAGTCGTGTGTTTACAGAGGTCGAGGTGAATGATTTTTTTTTATAGAGGATAAAACTTCAGCAACACTTGTTGAGTCAGTGCCCCTAAAAAGCTTAAGTGTGTGGATGGCTGCAGGTGAGCGAGATGCATTTAGAGGTTTATTACATTAAGGGACACTCCCTGACTACTTTAAAAACAAAACAAAAAAACTTAAGATGTATTTGGCAGTCCAAGAAAATCTTGGATATCTCGTTGCTGGAATGTATTCGGTGTGATAGTAAATGAATATTTGTGCGTGCTTGTCTCTTCTCTCTTTGTGCAGCTGGGAGCAGAGGGTGTTGCCTCATGGCAGAGTGTACTACGTTGACCACAACACCAAAACCACAACGTGGGAGAGACCACTGCCACCGGGGTGCGCCCGTAGCACTTTTAAATGTGTTTTCTCCATCAGTGCACTGGTTGTTTAAGGTTACGTAAAGTTAGGCTAATGCATGTGTCAACATTCCTTTCTGTAAACTAAAGGGCATTCAGTCATCACCTGTCTGAAAATAACCGTTTCCTCTGATATCTGTGGCCACTTTTTTTAGCTTCACCATCTGACAGTAACGTAACTGGGGAAAAGCAGGATCTGTCCTTAAATAACCATTTATGCCAGATTCAGATTAATGGTCTGACATTTGTGTCTATTTGGCTACATAGAGAGGAGGATTATGGTAATTACAGAAGATACAGAGGCCCACTTGTGTGCCGTCCTTGCCCAGTGGTAATGACACTTTGCGTAGGTTGAGAGCTGACTGTGTAAAAAGTTGGCTTGTCCGGGAAAAGGAACAACAGCGGAGTTCAGCATCTAGACAAAAAAACCCCACTGAAGACAAACAAGTGTTCTGTTCCAGGTTGAAATCATGACGTACTGTTTCTGTTCCAGGCTTGCACATCAGCATAGGTAGACAATAAAGGCGCAGTTTGATCTCATTGCCCTGCACCGAACGGTTGAGGACATTAGGTTTAAACTGGACTAGGTTGAAATGCCCTGTGCCACAATGATTTAGGCCGACGCCTAAATCATTCCTGAAACATCAAAGTCAAAATGACAAAAAAAAAAGAATGTTTTATCAAAGAAAAAAGTAAAACTTAAAGCAAAACTGGCCAAAAGAGAATGGAGTTTATTATGACTAAACAGCAGTGGAGTGTGTGAGTCAGCAGTGTCGACGATGGAAAAGCAAGCAGAGGTGTTGTGGGACAGAAGGAAATGAGAGACGCTTTATTGTTCTGAGGCCCTTGTGAAGCACATCAGCTGACTGGCTGCTAAAGTTGACAGCGTTCTGTTGAAACGAGCCAAAACAGCCTCTGAGTTGGTGGGAGGGGCATCTGACCCCTGTGAGCTCTGATTGCAGCAATTCCATTGAAGTGAACTTGCCACAAGAATTTCAGTTCTGGGTGGACTGTGACTTTAAAATTAAAGCTGAACATATAAAGTTCCCTCCCAGTCTTGGTTTCTGCCCGATCAAAGCTTCTTGTTTTATTAAGAGCACGTTATATGTTCTCTGGCATAAACACACACATTGCAGTGTAACTGTGCCTAACGCTGCAGCTTGATCGTAGTGTTTGTGTGCGGAGGCATCGTAACGAGAACACTGTTTCTCCCTCTTCTGGAGTACAGTGTTCTGCCAGAGTTCAGCCCATTTACCACATTTTTACTTGGAGTGAGTATTGATTGATTTTCAGAGCGTTTGACTGGGTGACAGAGAGAAAGAGAGGCTGTTTTTAGGAAAAGGTTGCCCCCCCCAAACCTCCACCTCAGATTTTCCATACAAGGAACGAGAGCGTGGGGGCCCAGAGAACAAAAGTCCTTTCTTCATGCCACATGTACTTCCATCCACCACTGTGCTGGCGGATGGCCGTTGTGGCCCTTCAGAGGATCAATTAGCAAGCTAATACCGCGCTAACGCTCCAGATGTACACATCAGGAGCTGTTTAGAGGATGAAGGGGGTGGGGTTGGGGTAGTTAGGCAATAGTGTTTTTTAAAGAAAGCAATCCAAAGCCAGACTGAGGAGAGCTTCTCACATTGTTCTTCATCATATCATTTGCAGGGTTTGTGAGCAGTAACACGTCACAAGCTCAAAAATTTCTTTAGACCAAACAGACTAAACTGAAAAGCTTTTGTTTATATCCAGTATAGCATTTCAAAACATCAAATGATTACATCTTGACTAAAATGGTTAGAGTTAAGAAGAAGTACAGCATGCCAGACCAAAGTGTAGCCGTGATTTCCACTTAAAAAGTCAGTCTGAAAAACTTAACAAAGCCTTAAGCAGTAATCAGATCTGCGGCTGTGTTACTGAGCAACAGTATTTTTTCTTTGATGCTAAACAAACCAGAGTTCAGATTGAAGCTATCATGACCGAGCCCGGCCTGAAGCTTTAATCTCATTCTGCCCTCCACGGGAAACCCATGTGAGATTACCTTTTCTGTCTTGTTTTTTGACTATCCACTCTTTGTTGGTTAACGATACACCTAAAGGTATAAATTCTTGCATTTTAATTCTGTTCAGTTTACTTCTTTTGAATTAAATTGTATTTATAATGTACAAAATCACAACAACAGTCATCTTAAAGTGCTACATCCCCCTATAAGCAAGCACTTGGCGACAATGGGAAAGAAAAACTCTCTTTTAGAAGAAACCTCCAGCAGGGAGGGGCGGCCATCTGTTGTGACCGTTTGGGGGTGAGGTGAGGAAGAAGGAACGAAGCCACGCTGTGGGAGAGAGACAGAGATGATTAATAATAACTAATGATTCAATACAAAGAGGTATATAAACACATTGTGAGTGAAGAAGAAACACAGTGCATCATGGGAAGCCCCCAGTAGCTTAGATGCATTTTGGCATAACTAAGGGAGGATTCAGGGGTCACCTGGCCCAGCCCTAACTATATGCTTTATCAAAATGTAAACTTTGAAGCCTAATCTTAAAAGTAGAGAGGGTGTCTTTCTTCCAGATCTATACTGGAAGCTGGTTCTCCAGATGTCTGTTTTTAAATATCCTAAAAATCACAAGTAAGCCTGCAGTCTGAGAGCAAAGTGCTCTAATTGATTGATACAGTACTATAAGGTCTTTGAGATATGACGCAGCCTGATTAGTCATCACCTTAAGTGATGAAAAGGATTTTCAATTTGGTTCTGGATTTAACAGGGAGCCAATGAAGAGAATCTAATATGGGAGAAATAAGGTTCCAAAAGAGGATGCATCAAGGTGGCATCCCAGTCCCATCCCAATGCCTGAACCACCAGCTTTGGCCTTTTGATATAAGGAGCAGCGGCTCCAGGCTGTCTGCACTCCTCACACTAACTCTGAGTCCACTCTACAGAAGAAATCATGTCAGCCGCTTGAAGATGCAACTAACTCTTTCTGCTTGGAGTATAACCCAAAATGGAATCGACACGGAATGCTCATATTGTTCACCTAATGTTGTTTTTTTCATTATTACCTTTTTTTCCCACCAATAATTCAGCAGTTTAAGTAAGTCAAGCACAGACAGGAGACGGAGCTAATAAGTGTTGCTTTTGATTGACACGGTTATAAATAATGATTGAACTGTTCAAACGAAGCTCAACACTGCACTGTGTGATCTGAACATGGTGATGGGACTGTAGTCTACAAATTCCAGGAAATACGCAGAGTAGATGGTTAATGACATGGTACCATAACTGGTACAGAGCGTCAGAGACAGATAGCCCAACTGAGGAGAGACTCAGACGGGCCTCTGTGGGCTCTGGGATTTTCCTCGGCTCCAGTAAATAACAAGCCAGCGCTAATATCAGAGAGGGAGCAGAGTTTTCTTGTGCATTTTAAAGAAAGCTCAGAGGCATCGTGGTCAGACAGACTGTCCCTCCACCAAATAACTCGCTGTGTTTGCAGTCATCCGTGTTACTGAAGTGTCCTTGAGAAAGAGACTTCTTTGCCGGGGCTGTCACATGATCCTCCTGGTTTGTCTGTGTTTACATTCATGCACTGCGTCACCCATTAGTATCATATAAAATATCATATCAAGTTCTTAGAGAGCTCAGCAGTGTTTTTAAATATTATATATGTAATAGTAATTTATCTAATTAAACACCTTATTGGATCGCTTGCTTTCATTGTATTTGTTACCATTTTTTAGTTACTAACTTTTGAACATGGGGCTGCTGTCTGGTTATTAGAACCAAAAAGCCTGACTTAAAAAAGAATTTGAACTGTACTTTTCCCCCCATCATTAACAATTTAACAAGTAGATGAAAAATTATTATTGTGGGCTGGCATTAAAACTAATTATTTCCACTTACCTTGACCTAACTATGCATGTTACTTTTCAAGAAGATTGTTTGTCCTGAGAAATGCGTAATGTGTGTCTTTGTCCTAAGATGTAACCAAGTCCAGGATCTTCTGTTGCATGTCTTTTATTTTCTTCCATCTCACTGTGAGCTTGTTCTGCTGGGCACTAAAGGCTTAAATACCCAACAGATGAAAATTATTACCATTTTGTGTTATATAAATATGCAGGCATCCAATAAAACATGATGCAGCAAGTAAACTCTTAGCCTCGGTTGGTAAACTAAATCTTCCATGCAGTTCTCCTCCTGCAGCCTGAATGTGAGTTTGCATATATGCTTCAGTGCAACAAAACTGAGCCTGTTTAGAGACTCAGGTTTGCAGCGAGTGGTCCTGGACTTTAGACAAACTGAAAGGCAGCGGCTCCAGTCATACTGATTCTGTGTGAGCCAGCTACACTGCTTGTATTATGCTGATTTCAATCAGTCGTTAAGTAGCAGTTGTGCTGTTCTCCAAATATATGAAAGGTAAAAAGAAAAAATGTAGCAAGACAAGAGTGGAGGTGTGGTGCTGCTGTGCACAACTATTTATTTTCTATCTGAGGCTGTCTGTGTGCATTTGGATTTTTTTTAAGCTGGTCTGTATCTGCAGTGAGTGTTTTTAGCCTTCGGAAGTCGATGCTGTTTTCTCTTTACCAAATTCTGTTGAACTTAAGTCAGAGATACAAGAATAGCAGCAGAGCAGCAGTCGGTCCTGGTGAGCCTGGGGAGCTGGTTTGTGTGTGTTGGGGAGGGGGCTTTGTTCATGCGTTTGTCCTCTGTGGGTCTATTCTTTGTGTGTTTGTCTTTAAGTAGACTGTCACTATCTCAGTCCAAGTCCAGACCTCCTGTCTCAGGGGAAGAATAGCATGTACATAAACAACTGAGCACTCACATGAAGGACATGGTTAGTCTCAGTCAGAAACCTGACATATTCCATTGTTTTTACTCATCATGCGTAACGCCAGGCGTCGGCTTAAGGAGAATAAACTACTTGATATTTCAGGCTAAGCTAAAGTGATAACGTACTAAAACAAAATTCAGCTAGCTTCAGTCTCTGTCTCTTACAGCTGATTTTTAGGTGATTTACTGGAGCACTAATCCAAAGCAAGATTGAGACTTTGGAATAATCTTAAAACATCCTTAAAAAGGAAGCATTAAACAGTTTTCCATCGGAAACATTCCTTATGCCTGCCTCTTTTCCTTTCCTGAATCCTACTCTCTATCTGCCTCCTCACTGTGTTTTCCTTCCTTTTCTCGTCTGTTTCTCTTTCCTCGTCTCCATAAATAAGTACCGTTGCTATCAGCAGCTTTTCGATGCAACCACCCACTCTTGAAGCGATTAATAAAATCTTGTTGAAAGGCACAGCGCCCGTTGCTGCCCCGACTAACCCTTTCTGCGTCCCCCCTTGCAGCTGGGAGAAACGAGTGGACCAGCGGGGCAGGTTCTACTATGTGGACCACAACACCAGAACCACCACGTGGCAGAGGCCTACAGCCGAGTCTGTGCGAAACTACCAGCAGTGGCAGAGCCAGCGCAGCCAGCTGCAGGGCGCCATGCACCAGTTCAGCCAGCGCTTCCTCTACCAGGTACCACAGGGTTTTAGTGGTTTCCAGCATGCAGTACACTGGCCTTTAAAGAGCTCAGTCAAAGATGTTTTTGAATACTTTAAAAATGTTGGAACAATTGGAAAGTAACCCCACTAGTAGCATATATCCATTTAAGCTACAGTGTTGCAAGTTGAGAACAAATAACCTTGGTGGTTAAAGCCCTTAAATGTTTACAACAGACTCTTGTTATCTCTCTGATGCATAAACCTATGTGGTGACAGCATTTCCAGATAACACCAAGCATCTACTTACATATTCTGGGTTATTTTTCTGGCAGTGTTGGTCAATGCTTTGAGCCAAACCATAAACGTGTGTCTGTCCATCCAACTCCTCATAAATCTATCTCAACAGCTGATCATCTGATCGCCTTTAAACTTGCTGGTTAAACTGTTTAGGACTTAAACGAAGTGCAGTGGTGAGCAGTTCTCATGTTTTGGCTAAAAGTTTTTTTTGAGTACTGCATGCGCCACTCTGTCCACAGGACAGGGTCCACACGCACACAGAGTTTACCGTATTCCCAGATTTCATAACCCTAAATTTACACAGTATTTAGGGCTTTGCAGGCATGTGTAGATACATATCCCCTTTTTAAACCTGGAAGTTTATTATTTCTTATTATGTGAATTGTTGCAACCAAAGATGCCCAGGGTTAAATTCTTTATGAACATGCACTACACTAGTGAGGTTGCAAAAATCTCTGGGTCTCTTCCACAGTGTGTTTTGCCCTCGCTGAGCCCGATTCTTCCTGTTAAAAGGGAGTTTTTCCTTCCCGCTGTTGCTGAGTGCAAAATCCAAGGAGGTCATTTGGTTATTAGAGTTTTCTCTGTTTCATTGTAGGGCCTTTACTTTACAGTATAAACCACCTTGAGGCAAATGCTGTTGTAAATTTGCATTACATAAATACAACTGAAATGAATTGAAAAGTGGCTATAAATTGGTCAAGTGCTGAGACGAGAGGGAACGCGGTAATGTATCTTGGTATGTCTGAATCAAGCTATAAGGAACATTAATGTAATAGCCACCTAGTCTCAGTAAAGCTGTCTCTTTGTGTCGTTTAGACACAGCTATCCTCCCCCATTCTGGCGGGTTTGAAATTGAGGAAAATAAAGTTGGTTAAAAACACCAGACTTTTGAGGCGGAAGATTCCATGTTTTGGAAAAGCCGTCCTTCATTTAGACTGAGGAGACGGTGAAATTCTTGAATTTGGCACAAAACGTTTGCTTTGTTTAGATTTGGACATGACTGTCACGCAGGCACCACGAGACTAATGTCTGTATGATTTGAGTAAGTCGAGCAGTCTGAAGGCGTCGTCTGCGGGGGGTTAGGGATGATATTTGAGACTTGTTTATAGTATTTTTCCAGCGCAGCCAGTTGATGTTTGGCCGCACTTCTGACAATCACAATCTTCTCCATGAAGCAGCCAAGGTCAGATTGCAGCCAGACAGTAAAAACTTATGGGGCTAAAACAACAGAGCCTTCTCAATGGACCATTAGTAAAAAAACGCCTTAAAACTCTTATAGGCTTCTATAAAAACACCCCGCCCTGCACTCCCCATGCTGGTGTTTCAGTTTTTATGAAATCTGTGTGTTCGTCTCAGTCTTTCTGTTTTACTCTGTCTGCTTGTGGCGGCTTATTTTATATGCTTCCAGCTGTCTGATTCCTTTGTCGTGTTTGTCGTCTTTGAAACAACCTTCACTTGTTTTTTATCAGCTTGTCCTTTTTGCTCCAGTCATTTTTTAAATGCTCTCATCATCTTTCAGCTCTTTTATCCATCAGTGAGTCCCTCCCTTTTTACACTTGTTTCACTCATTGTTGATTTCACGATGGACAGTATCTGTTTGACATGATCTGAGTTTGAACTTGAAGGCAAAACATTTAATGGAAAACACTGTCAAAGTTAGCTTTGGTCTTCATTGTGGCTTGTATTTTTCCTGACTTCTTGTCTACACACGTTAATTACTTTGGACTGCTGCAGTTGTTAGGGATGCATTGATGTGTGTTATGTTGATCAGATCACTCTGAAATCTCCAAAAAGAATGGCACGATCTCCTCATTTGACTTTTATACATAGCACAGACGAAGCAACAGCAAACAGTAGGTAGGTTGGAGATACTTTCCAGCTGCTGCGTCAGCAGTTTTCCTTTGTTTCTATGTTTGCAGAAGTTTTCAACTAAACTGAAAACAGCAGCCAAGTGAACCTGCACAGTTAATCATCTCAAAAACGATCATTCATCTGTCGGCTTCTTACGATTACAAAGCATAATGTTGTTATCAGGTGTGCACTCGGAATGAGAGCAGAGAGAGGAGAAATTAGCATGATCATAAATTACAGCCTGTGTAGTAAAGGCTCTAATACTGAGCTGAAATGAGAGAAGTGCTTATAAAGAAGGCGAATTATTGTTTATTTGGTCCTGTTCTCAGGTGCTAATTTAATTTTAATTTAATTCATTTAACACTGATATTGGATTGATGTTCTCTATCAGCAGATATGCATAAACAGGGTGTCCGTATCAAATGGAAACAGTCCTCTTTTGATTACATCACCGGTCTTTCCTTTTATTTTACTTTTTTTCACATTCTCATATAAGATGAAAGCTGTATCAGTGTTTGTTATCTCGATCTGATACTGAATGCTGTCAGATTTATTCTCCACAATCCTGTTACAATGGTGGATGGCTGTATTATACATGGTCAAAGTCTATGTGAAAGTAATCCCTTTGGCTGAAAGCCGTGACTTTAGAACGAGGATATCCCTAAGACAGATGAGTCTTTTAATTATTATTTTTTAAACAGAGCAGTGGATTTTAACATACCGTTTCTAAATATCTTATTTTTCTTTAGAAAGCATAAATTATTTAAATTTGCACACAACAACAGAATTATTTTGGAAAAAAAATCAGGATTATTAGACATTTTTATTGAACCACAGCACAAATCACTGCTGTCCAATGATGTGCTTTGACTTTGTAATGCTCAAAGCTTGTAAAATCAAGTTAAAGCCTGACACCTATTTTACACACAGTATAAAAACCTTTGAGCTGTCACTCGAGCACATCCTGCCAAAAACAAAACAGGGGGCGTGTGTAAGACTACAACAAACAACTTCAAGCTGTTATCCAGCAAAGAGGATACACGTCTGACTATTTAGCATCAGGGAGGCTAATAATTTAGTTTAATTTGATTAATATAGTTTTTTTGATTTTGTGAAATAATTTTATTTTAATGTAAAATAAAGTAAAATAATGAAAGCAGTGTTTGGAAAAGCTACGTTAAAAATCCTTGCACTGTTTAACAGTACTTGGAAAATCAAATTTTCATACAGGGGGTAAGAGTTTTGTCATCTGTATCAGTTGTAGCTATGGGGACAGAAGCCCCACCCACCTGCTCTTCATACTTTTTAATTGCGAGGGACGGCCAATCAGAAGAAAGGGTTAAAGGGAGGAGGAAATGCAGCTAGAATAGTTTGAAGCTCCAGTGTACGATAAATGAACATTATCAAAGATTATTCTCTGCCCAGGTAGAGTTCAAGAATAAATATATAAAGGAGGAAATGAGCAGTGTTTTTCACGCAAACTAGTGAATTTAAAGGAGGATTCGTGGTCTGCTGATTATTTGATGGCGTCTGCGTCACCTGTTATCTTCAGCACAGACGTCCTCTTCGTCTTAGCTAATCAGTGCAACAGTGCAGTGTTTTGGCTTTTTAATTTGTGCACAAATTTTTGTATATTTTTTTTTAATTAAATTTTTCTAATAAACCTCAAATTCACCTTTTCTCCCTGACCTTTGTCTTGTTGTGACATTTGAATTTCCCAGCAAAGTGTATGTCTGTGTCAACACGATCAGCATCTTCAATGAGGCATCGTCTGAGAACAGACCCCACTTCTTCACCCGAGCTTGGCCCCGATACTCGATGATGTGAAGAATATTTTCAATCAGGTCCTTGAGCAGACTAAGCAGAGGCTGACTAATGGCCAACTTAGCCCATATGTAAACATTTCCAGTGATGTCAGATTGTATAAGTAACGTAAAAATAGTTGAACAAACAAAAACAAAGTTATAAGCGGTGTCACTATTCATTCAGGTTTTTAATGTCCGCACAGAAAGGTTCAGTTCGAGCTGGAAACTTTTTCTTTCCTCGCCCCTCCCTTCCTCCCTCTCTCTTTCCAAGTGTGTGAGAAAACCCAAGAGTCAGGTCTGCCCTCCGTGTTGATAGTACACTGCTCTGTCTTGGAATGCCCACACTGCTGATAGCAGCGACTATTTATGGTCCCAGTGTGTGTGAACAAGGAACACACACACAAACTCTTCATAGTTTTCCTGTGAACACAGCCACATGTTCTGCTGCCTGGCTCACACTCTCACCATGACTCCTCCAAAGCTTTCTTCCATTTTTCCCCCCCAATTACATTTTTTTTTGTTTGTGGTGGAACTTTACTGGTAAATGTCCCATTAGTCAAGTTTGCAATATTGGTGATGATATTGTGATATGGAGCTATATGATCTTGCCATGCAGTCATGTGCTCCTCCTCTGTGTGTGTTGGTGCAGATGTGTTCACAGGGCTGTAATGTTGAGGTCAGGTGCCACATTTCTCCTCTGAAGCACATGACAACTAAAGAGAGCCAAGGGGCCAGTCGCCCTCTTAAATGGACCATGCCGCTGCAATGAGACTGTGCACACACTCAAAAACATGGACTGTCTAAAGCTCCATAAACACAGGCACCAAAGTAATCATGCACTGGGTGTTGTAAAGGAGTTGGACACTCGAGTACTGAAACTTTTCAGCTGCTTACTGATGGTTTTGTGTGTCTGCCTTTTTTTTAGAGTGGGAGGTGAGGCGATTTTGTTGGTAGTGACTATAGGACACACTTTGAACTAGAGCAGGGCGATATGGCCAAAAATATTTATCACGATATATATTTGAAAATTTGCGATAACGATATAACCGACGATATAATTGATGCGAGACAAAATACAACT